AAATTCCAAATTCCGATTTCCTAGCAGGTTTGAGCCCTTGTTTCTATTAATGTTATTAATATTTGTTAGGTAAATGAAGACATTCTTGTTAGAAGAGTATAAAGAATACTGTATTGTGTAATTTGTTCTTTTCTTTTTTGTTTTTTTTTTTGGTCTTTTTGAGATGGTCTCCCTGTAGCCCCAGCTGTCCTAGAACTCACTATGCAGACCAGGCTGGCCTTGAACTCACAGAGATCCGCCTACCTCTGCCTCCTGGCTGCTGGGATTAAAGGTGTGTGCCACCACGCCAGGGTTTTTTTTTTTTTTTTTCAAATGAAATCTGATATGATGCCAATATAATAAAACAGATGAAGTCATTATCCACAGATAAGAACTACTATAGTTAGAGCTAGCCACTCCATGAGGTTACACCTATAAGGTGTAACTTATCCAAAGAAAAAACAAACATTAGAAAACAATAGATTTGTTTAAATATTTCAAATATAAATAAAATAGTTCATAGAGTACAGATAACTGTAAATACGGGGGAAACATAGCCAGTGTCATTTTTATTTTAATGTTTGTTGCCTTAATTTGTTTTTATAGTAACAGAATTAGATCAAGCAATGTCCTTGGTTATTTTAAGTATAGTCATATTTTAAGTATATGTCACACACAAATGTTATGTCAGATACAGAGGACAATAGAAAAGTAAGATCCGGATCATGCTGGCCAATAGTTTTGATATGATCCAGTTTCTTTTTTATTGGCTCTACCAGCCTGAAGACTGCTATAGCATCTACAACTGAGCCTCATCTACCTCAGATTCTAGGAATGAGCCTTCCTAAAGACGACCTGGGAATACATATATGTGGCCCCAAGCAAAATGTGATGCTTGGCTAACGGGGAAATGTGAAAGAAAGTTCCCAGAACTCCTGCACCTTGGACTGAATTTCCTGCAAGGCTCACTAACTATCACTCCAGAGATTGTGGAGAGTCTGGAATGTTGCAGATCCTGAGCCTATTCACAGATTATCTGGGGATATCTTTAACCCCCATAAATAGACAAACATTGCCTGCCTGTTTCTGAATGAACATTCTTGTGACTAATAAAATGTATTAACTTAGCAGACCACCAGCTCTCACCAATTAAAAAGCTAAGACTGTCATCAGATAGCATCTGAGACCCATAGTAGAAACCCCCTCGATTAGCCATGACCCACTTGCCTACTAAATGTATCCACCAATGTATTTGAAAAGTGTCTTGATTCATGACTTTTCTTTGTTCTGTTACTCTAAAAACATAATGTAACCATTACCACCCTGGAAGATGGAATTTGGGGTAACCTGAATCTGTTCCCCCGCCATGGTCACTCATTTGGCTCCAAAAAAACTCTCTCTTGTCCCCTTTGAGGTGAGTTTTGCTTTTGCCTGGACAGTCCCAAGGGCTATGGCCATGCTACGAAGTGACCTTGTGCTGGTCTTCTTCATGGCAGTCTTCAGATCTCTTACCAAATGTGTTACCTCAAACTAGTTCCCAAACTTACTGTGGTCTCATTATTCTCATTTTTCCCATTCCTAAAATGTTCTTCCCCAAGTAATCTAAGCAATGCATTTTAAACCCTCAGACTGTGTCTCTCCTCTGTTCAGAGCCTACTATTATGGAAAAATCAGAGACCAATAGCCAAAGGTGAGGAGAGAAAGTTTAATTTTAAATTAGCACTGCTCCATGGATCCTTACATAAGGGAGTCAGTGGCCCCTTCCAGTTTGGGGGGGGGGACTTTTATATTCATGTGAAGAAATGCCAGCAAAAGGCAAAACAGCACAGAGGTGACAAGTAAAATGATACATGTGCTAATTAAGGAAGGTAACATAGGTTACAGGAATGTGGAAACTGGAAAACAAAGACTTCCATGGGGAACAGCCACAGGGGGGAGGGGGGTTAGATGCCTGCTCACCTCCCCCATAGAGATCTCTAATCTCAGAGCTTTCCCTGCTCTAAAGTACTTAATTACCATCACATTGCCAAAGTTTTCCCTTTCCTTAATATTACCACCCATCAACCTCAGGACACGCCAGCTGTTCAAGCCCAGGTGTGGCTTTTCCTCACATTGTCTGAACCTTGCAGACTCCTAAACTCTGGTTTCCAGAAAGCACCACCGGATCGTTGCTCCACGCCTTGCACATTGGTCCCTCTGCCCCTAACATCCTTCCACATCAGTCAGCAATGGGGCTGAGCTATGAGCAATGCCACCGCTCTGATCCGCGAGTCTAGGCTGTAGGAGCCAGAGACCGGTCAGATTTGCGGTTTCAGGGCTCAGGTATGGGGGTAGAGGGGAGGACCTCGGGTCGCACCCACCTGCGCCAGATTCATCAGCGTGGCCTCCGCCATTAGACCTGTGGACTAGGGAATAGGGCGGCAAATTCCAAGACGGGAGGTCCACCTTCCAGGGCCCTTTCCAGGGTCTGGGTTACCGGGCGGGGCCCGGTGGAGCATCCAGCCCGCCCCTGTTTAGGGAAGTCAACGCCTCCTTCTCATTTCTCCTTTCCAGTCAGTATGGATTCGACATTGCGGAAGACGAAACTACTAATGGAAAAGCAACGTCTGAGCGCAGAAGGGAGCCGGAAATCCCACCCTATCGCCTTCATACAAACGGAAACGCCTCTTTCTAGGTTTTGGCTGGTTTAGGGGCGCTGAGGCTCTTGGGTAATGTAGTTCTTAAGACAAGGCAGTTGTGTGGCAAAAGGGTGACCTCCAAGAGTTAAGGCCCCCCTATACCGCTAAGTGTCTGATATTGGTGTCTTTGCAACCCAGGCTGTATCTGTATTTATAGTCCGTGTACGTCTGCAACTTAACACATAAATATGTAAGACACATGATATCAGGCTTCCTTGTGTACAGAATGCTCTGTCCCACAAAACACACTCTACAACATCGTCACTCTAATAAATATTATTGTATTTTTTTTTTAATACATTTAACATGGAGTTCTAGAGCTAGTTTTCTGAGCCTGTTTTGGGTCTGGCACTACAGATAGACTCCAGCTTTGCTATAAAGGAGCTATGCCATAAAGCTCTGCCATAAAGGATGTTTGGTGGGAATCACTCTTTTGTATTAGGTTACCCCAGAAAATATTTTTTCTTAGCTATAGAGTCAGAAATCTAGCAACTAACTTTTTTTTTTTTTCAAAAGATATTTTATACTCTCGGGGCTGGAGAGATGGCTCCGCGGTCAAGAACACTGGCTGTTCTTGCAGAAGACCCGGGTTCGATTCCCAGCACCCACATGGCAGCTAACAACTGTCCCTAACTCCAGTCCCAGGGGTATCCGACAGTTTCTTCTGACCTCCGTAGGCATTGCAGGACACGGGTGCAGTTACCTATTGTAAGCAGGCAATACACTCATACACATGAAATTTAAATTTAAATTTAAAAAAAAGATATTTTATACTCAATTTAAATTTAAATTTAAAAAAAAGATATTTTATACTCTATAGATGTATTCGGCCTGCATGGTAGCACAGGCTTTTAATCCCAGCGCTTGGGAGGCAGAGGCAGGAGGATCTCTATGATCTTGTGAGTTTAAGGCCAGCCTGGTTTACATAGTGTTAGCTAAAAGCCAGGCAGCCACAGAAAACACAGGAGGACTCCAGCAAAGCAAAGTTTATTTATTACGATTGCTGGTAGCTGGCAGCTCAGCTGGGAAGAGAAAAGCAACCAGCTGCCTGCTGACTGCTGGGGAAGTTCTTATAGCGGGATTGGGGAATGCGGAATGTGGGGAAAATAATCTTTACAGTTTCAAGGGAAGTAGGGGCCTGCTCACTGTGAAACTTATCAGGGGGAAAGCAGCAGTTTGTGCTGAGACCGCTTTTTGTAAACATCAGGTCTTGGGTCACAGGTGCAGGGGCCTGTGTATCTTCTAAAATTATCTGGGGAACAGCTTTGTGCTGAGACAGCTGTAAATGCGGCTGCCTGGCCAGTTCCTGTTTTGCAAGGGGCCTCAGGGCCTGTCTTGTGAGGCTTTACAGCAGTGTGTGTCGGGGGAGGGGGTCGTCTGCAGACCTGAGTTCAGGCCAGCCTGGACTCCAGGGAGACCTGGTCTCAAAAAGACCAAAAACAACAAACTGGTGGCGCACGCCTGTAATCCCAGCACTCAGGAGGCACTCGGGAGGCAGAGGCGGAGGAATCTCTGTGAGTTCAAGGACAGCCTGGTCTACATAGTGAGTTCCAGGACAGCTGGGGCTACAGGGAGACCCCGCCTCAAAAAGACCCCCACCCAAAAAAAAAAAAAACCCCAGAAAACTAGATAGATGTATTCAACAACTTTCAGTATTTTCCCAGTATCTGAAAAGACTGGTCATTTACCACCACTTTCTGCAGTGAAAAAGGTAACAGGGATAAAGAACTGGCCACCAAGCTAAACTGCACATCACAAAATATCTCTCATGAAAGTGTGACATAAAACTATTTGAGGGCCCATGAGATGTTTCAGTGGGTAAAGGTGCCTAGTGCCAAGCCTGATGAGCTGGAGTTTGATAGCCACGTGTAGTCCTCACATACACACACGGATGTAAAAAACAAAAAAGCTATTTGAGACAAAAAATGAAAAATGCCATGGAAATATATTTGCACAGCAAAAAAATGATTTATTGATTTTTTTTTTTTTTTTTTTTTTTTTTGGTCTTTTTGAGACAGGGTCTCCCTGTAGCCCCAGCTGTCCTGGAACTCACTATGTAGACCAGGCTGGCCTTGAACTCAGAGATCCACCTGCCTCTGCCTCCAGAGTGCTGGGGATTAAAGGTGTGCGCCACCACGCCCAGCAATTTATTTTTAATTATGTATGTCTGTATGTGTGTGTCTGTGTGCCCATGTGAGTGTAAGTAGGCCCAGAGGCTACATGAAGGTATTGGAGCCCTTGGAATTGGAGTTCCAGGCAGTTCTGAGCCCACCCACTTGGTAGGTGCTAGGACCAAGCTCTAGTCTTCTACAAGAACTGTACTTGCCCTTAACCATAAGCCATCAATCACTTCAGCTCCCCAGAAAATATTTTCCAACCTGAACCAATGGGTTTTATCGGGATTGCTTACAAGAGTGAGGGGTTGTTTAAAGAAGCAGGAATGGCTCAAAGGCCACTATTCCACCAAATGCCCACCCCAGCATGAGTGATGACTCAAGACGGCTGGAACCCTGCAGCTCACTGCTTAACCTCCAGACAACTCAAAAGGTCCGAGAGTGGCTTCTAGGCAGCTCCTCTGGTCTCAGTGTCTATTCCAGGCAGCTTGGATTGTCCAATATCAGTAGTCCTTCTTATAGAAGCTTGAAAAAGGAGGGGTCTAGTACATCCAGTCAGTTTCAGAGATTTCCTGAGTCTTAACAAGCCTTGGTTTAGAACTTCCTGAGTCTTAAAGAGCTTCTCTGAAGAATGGAATGTTTCAACACCCTTTACAAAATCCTGAGTCATAAAGAGCTTCTGTCTAAGATGGAATGTTTTAATTCCAAGGAAATTCCTGTATTCCTGTATAACAGCTCCACACCAAATTTGCCTCTTGACAGGTCCAAAGGAATGGAACCAAGTGAGGACAAACTGAGACCTCTGCCAAAAAAACTTTTCCTCCTTTTATACTGATTATCTCTGCTGGGCGTGGTGGCACATGCCTTTAATCCCAGCACTTGGGAGGCAGAGGCAGGCCGATCTCTAGAGTTCAAGGCCAGCCTGGTCTACATAGTGAGTTCCAGGACAGCTGGGGCTACAGGGAGACCCTATCTAAACTGATTATCTCATATATTTGTCATAGTAACAAAAACCAGGTTGAGAGACTGCAAACACCCACTAGAATACTTTTAATTTCTTCCCCCTTCTTCTCAAAGAGGGACCACCCCCCGAAGAGAAGTAATATTTTTTTGGGGGGGTCTTTTTGAGTCAGGGTCCCCAGAAGCTCCAGTTGGCCTGGAACTATGTAGACCAGGCTGGTCTTGATCTCACAGAGATCCACCTGCCTCTGCCTCCTAAGTGCTGGGATTAAAGACATGCGCCACCACGCCTGACTGAGTCTATAGTTGTTGAGAAAGGTTTGAACAGGTCAACAAATAACAAACTACAGTGCAGATGTAAAATGGAATGCTACTCAGCAGTATAAATAGATATTTTGAAGCCCATTTCAAAAAAAAATTATTTATGTGTATGGGTGTATTGCCTGCATGTGTTTAAGTGCACCTGTGTCGTGCAATGCCCGAGGAGGTCAGAAGAGGGTGTTGGATCCCCTGGAACTGGAATTACAGATGGCTGTAAGCCGCCCTGAGGGTGTTGGGAATCAAAACCTAGTAGTCCTCTGCAAGAGCAGCCAGTGCTCTTAACCACTGAGCCATCTCTCCAGCCCCTCCTGTCTTTCCTAAACATTTTTCATATTCTGTCCTGTCTTCCAGTTTATCTTGACTGGCTTCATCTACCTTCTCACTTTGTCATCCAGAAACAAAAATTCTGTTTTAAAGACAGTTGGTATGAATGTTCCATACTCACTCTTTTTTTTGGGGGGGGGGGTTGAGACAGGGTCCCTGTAGCCCCAAGCTGGCTTGGAACTTGCTATGTAGACCAGGCTGGCCTTGAACTCACAGAGATCCACCTGCCTCTGCCTCCCCAGTGCTGGGATTAAAGGCATGCGCCACCACACCCAGTTTTACTCCTGGTTTTTGTTTTTTTGTTTTTTGTTTTAAATAACTAAAGGTATTTAATCTAGAAGTAAAATGCGTTGGGAAACACATGATAGCTATTGTTAAGTACTTAAAAGGGCAATCACAGGGAAGAATGATTAGGTTTCCTAACACCCACTAGTAAAATAAATAGAGGTATACTCTGACGTGATATAAAGAAGATTTTTTTTTCTTTTTGGTTTTATGAGACAGAGTCTCACTATATAGCCCAGGCTGAAATCAAGCTTGTGATCCATCTGCCTCAGCCTCCCAAGTGCTGGGATTACAGGTGTGTACCACCATGCCCAGCTTTAAAGTTTTTAAAAACACTACTATCTAGGAGTGTTCAAGTGAGGTCAAATGATCAATGATTAAGATTATTTCACAAGCAGGAAAAAGTAAGAGCTAAGTCACTGTTCTTCTACTGGTAGGGTGCTTGTGGTGTCCCTCAGTTAAAGAAGTATTATGAGCAGCTTCAGTCCAATAAGTTACTGTCACCCCCATTGGGCCTGTGTGTTGGTTATTCTAAAGAGGAAGTTTGGAAGGCAATAACATTGTATCCTAGAAATAGACAGGAGCCTTCATGAAGATATCCAAACACCCACTCACAAGTGGTCTCAAAAACACCCAGTACCTTTACTTAGCTTTACCTCCTTTACTGTCGGATCGCTCTCCGACAGGTACGGCATAGGGAGAGAGGCCAGGATCAGCCTGTGTTCCTCTCTTAGGGCTGAGCGGGATGGTGAGTGTCGGTGACTCAAAAACCACACTGAGTCGGGAGTCTTGTCGAGGTAGGAACTCACTTTATTGCGTCAGGCATTACCTTATATAGTTTAATCAAAAAGGGGTGTGGAAAAGGGAAGGGCAAAGATGTATGTCATCTGGGCAATGGCTGTGGGCCACTGGGAATTGGCCACGCCAGCTGCGATTGGGGAGAGGCAGTCTGAGGTCGGGCCCTGCTGAGTCACCTCCATGAGGAAGTGAGTGGCCAGAGACAGGTCACCAAACTTTAGTCAGGCTCAGGAAGTTACAATAGGCCTCGTCATAAGTTATGCCACAATTATGAGGGTCCTGGAGACCCAACACTTTACAATATGTTCAATATGAGCAATTTGACTCCCACGCCTAGGTCAGGCCTGAATGTTTCTTGTGAGCCATGGTTTTAGGCAGAGGATCATTGTGGAAGGAGAGCCCCTCTACCCACAGGGGGCTATGACCATAGAAGTCAGTGGAAGGAGAGGGATTTAAGGAGTCCTGGGCAGATATGCCTAAAGATCCAGGCCTGGCACCATCACCGTCCAAGAAGGGCCCAGTTCCTATGCTCTGTGCATTGGGACTATTTGTGCTTGGTAGACTTCAATCCAAAGGTCCTGTTTGGACCAGACTAGGGGTTGGGAAGAAGGCAATAGCTGGCTGGAGAGAAACCAGGCCCTTCAGTTGGAAAGGATCCTTCAGTTGGAACATAGCATTGAGGTGGGCTTGGCTTTCAAGCTGCACACAATGGGCCAGCGGGGAGGTGAGTCCATGGACAAAATGGATCTGAACCAGCCCTGACTGCCCCCCAGATACCAGCCATCCATAGGAGTCCAGGTTTGGGCTGAAACGTACCTTATGAATAGCCTCCAGCTGCAGCCTGTCAAAGCAAAGCTGAGAATGCCCCTCTCCTTCCTGCACGCCCATCATTGGTTCTCTATGGAGCAGACTGTGGCAGGAACTCAAATCTGTATCTTGAAAGAGCAAGTAGTGGTGGGTGATGGTTTCAGGGTATGTTCTAGCTTTGGGAGGATTGGGGGCCTCAGATGAAGCAGAAGAGTTGTCTTGATCTTCTGGACTGTTCTGGTATGGTATCAGATCTGCTTTATATATAGCAAATCTCCTTTCTGCAGGCTTCTTGACATTGATTGGGTTCGATGCCATATCAGGCAATACAGCTGCAATGAGCTCCCCAGATATATCTCCTGCTGCTACTGTCCTGAGCCAGTCAGAATCTGAAAGACTCCACACAGTGCCTTTTCAACGGGCAGTGAAGTAGGCTTTAAAACCAAGGTAACCAGCATCGAAATAATGAATTCCACAGAGACCATAGGAGGCATAGCAGTTATCCTGAGGCACAGTGATACCATTGTAGGGGAGCAGCCAGGATAGTTCTTGTCGGGAGCTGGAGAAACAACATTCATTACCAAAAAATATAATATGGCTCTACAAACAGTTGACTTAAGCAAGACATTCTGCCTGCACAAGTAACCTTGAGAAAGAATTTATGGCAAGGTTATCTTTCTCTTCCTCTTGCAAACAGTTCTCAGAAAAGATAAGTCATGCAGTAATCTCTTGGAACACCTGGTGGTCAGTCACATTGCT